ACTTCTTTTCCTTCCTTCTGATCCTAGTAAATTACGTCTCATCAGGAGTGGCTGCATTGTCTTCTTCTGTGGCCTGGTAACGCTGCTTCCCCCTCAAGGAGAGGTAATTAAAGAACAGGCCAATCAGTTCATGTCAGAGAAAGTCCCTGTTCCTATTACAATGGAACCCACTTGGATACTGAACTGCCATGGGCTACATCTGTGCAGGGGTCTTAGGTTATCTCCATGCATAGTCCTTGGTTGGAATAGCATAGACTATATTTTCAATATGTGTGAGTATGTTGCAAGGGGAAACCTTGTAATGAAAATTTTGGTTCCTTTAAATATGTTTTTGTTTTAATATATTTTGTTTTTATTTAAGCCCAAGGATTTTAATTAGGGCTTTAATGTGTCCACAGCTAAAAAATGCCTCCTGAAAGGCATGGTCTTTGACAGTTGGTAAGTCTGCCTCATGCAGCATGGAGAGGGGAGTAGTCTAGGACTCTCAGGGATATAAATATGAGAGCCCAGAGAGAGAAAGTGATGACAGTTTGGAGAGACCAGAGACAGAAGGTGTGATGGCTTGGAGACATAAAAAGAGAAGCGTTTCAACACAGCAGCTTGGAGGAGACTGCTTGCTGCGTTTGCTGTTGATAGAGAATTGTATAGCCCCCCCCCAAAACCCATCAACAATAAACAGCCAGGAGAAGTAAAGGGGTCAGTACCCCCTTTCCACACAGACCTTCTCTCTCCTACGTAGGGCTGGGGGGATTAGAAGGGAGAGGCTTTAAGGGACCCCAATAAAATAGAGTTTTATAAAAAAGAGCACAACAAAAGCTCAGTGTAGAGGTAGAGGAGGTGTATTGGATATTACAATAATGGTTCCCTTAACCACAAGAAAGAGATGGAGGGTAAAGCCCAACATTGCAAAGCTGGTGTTTTTGTACTCCAGGCCACAGAAGTAAATCCACACAATGAAGTGCGGCATTTACAAGGATCTGAAAGATCCCTTCTGCATAATGTGACAAAATAATTTGATTTCAGGAAACAAGTATGACAGACTTGATCACTGGTATTGAGCTATCAAAGCCCAAAAGATTTATCTTTCAGGATCAACATAATGATTTTTCTAAAATAGTGTTAGAATAATTTTATTCGTGGTATTTTGTTAAAACATTAATGGCAAGGAGGGAAGGTGTTTAGCATTGGGTGGGTAAGGAGGTAGGTAAATCCTAGGAGGAGTTGGGGGCGGGGAAACATTATCAAAATATTTCATGAAAAAAATTAAAATTAAAAAATAGAGTAGAAGTGCTTGTCACAAAGCTTGATAAACTGAGTTCAGTCCCCAGAATTCCTGTAAGGGGACAAAGAGGGAAATTACTGTACAAAACTGTCCTTTGACAGTTTGTTTTTTGTCCTTGACAAACTTTCCATGACCTCTTTCTTGCACACACCTCAATAAACATACATAAACAAACAAATAATTGTAATTTAAAATAAGAGAAAGAAATATGTACTTGAAATCTTTTGCTCTACTCACCTTACTATTACAACTACAGTCCTGTACATTATATGTAAAACAGGCAGAAGAGGGGTCTTAAAAGTAGAAAGAAGTCCTTTCTGCCGGGTGCTGGCTGCCTGCTGTCAAAACGGGCGAGTTCATGAAACCCAGGAAAGTGGTGCTGGTCCTGGCCTATGCTACTCTGGACGCAAAGCTGTCATCGTGAAGAATATTGATGATGGCACCTCAGACGGCCCTTACAGCCATGCCCTGGTGACTGGAATCGACCGCTATCCCCAAAAAGTGACAGCTGCCATGGGCAAGAAGAAAATCGCCAAGAGATCAAAGATCAAGTCCTTTGTGAAAGTTTATAACTACAATCACCTCCTGCCCACAAGGTACTCTGTGGACATCCTCTTGGACAAAACTGTTGTCAACAAGGATGTCTTTAGAGACCCAGGCCAGGGTCTCTAAAATGCAAGGCCAGGCAAGAGGCCAAGGTCAAATCTGAAGAACAAGACAGGGAAGAACAAATGGTTTTTCCAGAAGCTTCGCTTTTAGGTATATTTTCCCTTCTATCATTAAAAATTTAAAAAAAGTCAAAAAAAGTAGAAAGAAATTAGACTACTTATATTTTTCAGGATGGGAGGAATGGCAGCAATAGCCTCTTTTTCTTGCCTATGTCAGACATGGAGCTGAAAAATATTATGACCAAAAGCATTAACAGGCACAGACCAAAAAAAAAAAAAAAGTTACAAAACATTAACCTTGTGAGACACGAATATGCAGACAGCAACCACCAGACAAAATTGGAGAAAAACTTGTGGGCCTACCCACATCCATCCGTATACCCATACCAGCAAAGAGAAATAGAGGAGCACAGACTTCTCATGAGGCTGTATGACATGCCTTAACCTTTTGAATCCTCTGACAGTGTGGAGACAAGGAAGGTCAAATCTGGAGCAGAAACTGTCATGCCTGCAGCTGGTATTAATGAGGCCCACCCATACACACTATACTGGCAGAGACACGAAGAGCCTAAATGTCCAGTCCTAGCTAGAAGTGAGTCTCCTTTCTGAGGCTGTATAAGAGGAAACTTAGTGAAGAGTCTAAACTTCACTATCTGAAAAACAAAAACAAAAAACCAAAACAAAAAACATATTTTTGGTTGTAGGACATAGATAAATCAATCTGGGAACTGACTGGGAAACTTCCTCCCCGGTAGATAACTTTCATAGTTCCGGAGGGTGCTCTGCAAACTTCTGGGAGGAGAGAAAGAGTGCTGGTCTTAGCTGGTGTTGGACCTTGCATGCTATAATACCAACCGGCCAGGAAAGATGTGCTCACTGGTACAATAGGTACAATAATACCATGATGGTGGAGATAACCTAGAACTCCTGCACAGATATAGCCCATGGCAGTTCAGTGTCCAAGTGAGTTACATAGTAATGGGAAGAGGGACTGCTTCTGACATAATCTGATTGGCCTGCTCGTTGATCACCTCCCCCTGAGGGGGGAGCAGCCTTACCAGGCCACGGTAGAGGACAATGCAGCCCCTTTTGATGAGAACTGATAGACTAAGATCAGAAAGGAGAGGAGAACCTCCCCTATCAGTGGACTTGGGGAGTGGCATGCATGCAGAAAGGGGAGGGAAGGTGGGATCGGGAGGGGAGGAGGGAGGGGCTTATGGGGGGATACAAAATGAATAAAGTGTAATTAATAAAAAATTTTAAAAATAATAATAATAATACCATGATGGCTATGTGGTAACCAAGCACTTTCTCATTGGAGTTGAGGCCTGCAGCCTAGGAGGGATCCCTTGCCTTGTACTGAGAACTTGGTCAAATGCCTATGGTGTTGGAGATCATGGGCATTGTAATACTATTTTGATAAGTGGTCATGTTATCAAGCTGTCTTTTAAATATTGTTATGTTTGTTTTAAAAACTCTTTTTTTAAAAATCTGTGGTTGCCTCTCCCTTCCAATCCCCCAACCACCATCACCACCATTAATAACAATAATAATAATAAATTTAAAAATTTTAAATGACCACCAAGGTACAACAAATTCCTAGTACATGCAGGACTCTGGGGTTCCATCTACAGTGCTGAAAAAAATTACACCCAAGGACACTAAATCCATAATAAGAGTATTATGAGACTTACACCAGTGTAAGCTTTTTTAAAGTGACGACACCAAATGCCGGTAAGAACGGAAAAGAACCTAGAGCACTCATTCACTTCGAGTGAAAATGTACCAGTTACAGCCTTTCTGGAAAACAATTTCTTAAAAAAAAATATATATATATGTATATATATATATACACTTAGAATACAGCATAGTAGTTTCATTCCCGGGCATTTTGTCCAGAGAAATACGGACCTGTGTTTACACAAAAGCCTGAGAGGAGACTATACTTCACTGATTGTGTTTGTCCAGTGTGCTTGGTTTGGGTCTCAACATAACCCAGGCTGGCCGGAAACTTACTACATCTCCCAGGATGACCTTGAAAGTTTTCGTCCTCCTACCCCACAAGGGCTGGGATTACAGGCTTTTGTTACGAACCTGATTCTCAAGTGGGGAATGGGGCAGTATCGAAAGGCCGGTTTAAGAACAGAAAAGCAAAGAGACAGATTAACACAATTAAAGCACATTTGAAAGAGAGTTTTGGTGGGGTTTTTGTTTGTTTGTTTGTTTGTTTGTTTGTTTGTTTTGTTTTGTTTTATCGGAAAATTTGAAACATCTTCCGAAACAAACCTTTGAAAAGAACCAGGAAGACATGATCTGATGAACACACTTGTGCTTTCTGGATGTTCTAGAGAGCCCAGGTAGGGGCTGGGGGCCCATAAGAAGGGGCGGTTAGGTGATTTCTCTTAGCACAAGCCGAGAGATCCCCTTGTTGCTCTCTTACTCCGAGATGGGACTTGTCAGTTTTGAAACACAAATTAAAAGGGCTCTGTTTCCAGGAATGTAAAAACATGTCTTTGTTCTGATACACAAAGATTATGAGTTCACTGGTTAAGAAACCTGAAAAATTAGAGAAAGCCACACCGTCTCCTGGACACAAAAGAGAAATGCCAAGTTCAGGGTCAGAACACAATCGGCTGATATTTATCATGTGGTTCTCAAGCACGACCTGTGCCTGTGTTCTGTCCAAACTTGGAAATGAAGTGACTAAAAAAAATTCTACAAGCCCAGTTATGGTACACTTTGTGGAAAAGTAGACGGCTAGGAACGACTTTTCCGGTCCGTTAAAACCGAAGGCGTGAGGCGCAATGGGGTCTAATGAGGACCTACTGAGGAGTTCTCAACAGCCAGTCACAAAGCCAGGCGTGGCTGTGGGCGTGGCCAAGCGGCAGTAGCCAATGGCAGAGAGGAATGTGAGCAGGAAGGGGGCCCACCGGCCTCTGAGGCAGGCAGAGCGCCACAGCCACCAAAGAGAGAGCTTCGTTTAAGCCTCTGTGGTGATTTGAACTGTTCCATTTTCCTCCGAACCTCAAATCTCACTTCCAACTGGTATTATGGATGACACCGAGAAGGAATTCCAGCGGGTGATCCGTCGCCACTACCGCGAAAAAAGGGAGTTGGAAACTCACATCCAGGCCCTGAAAAATTCCGTCCCAAAGAACGACAAGGAGAGAAGAAAGCAGTTGCTCGCCGACATTGCCCGCCTCGAGGCCGAGATGGAGCAGAGGCACCAGCAGGAGCTGGAGAAATTTGAAGATCTGAACACCAGCGTGGAATCGGTCACGGCTGACTTCACAAAGATGAATCTCGAGAATATGCCTCCACGCCCATCAAAGAGCCAGAAAAGGCACGAGCGAAGAAGAGCTAACATGGAGAGAAGACGCCAGGAGAGGATGCCGGTGGAGCAGGCCGAACAACTGGCCACCTTCCGTCGCGAGGAGGAAGAGAAGGTTGCGGCCATCCTAGCGGCCCGAAATCTGGAGATGAAGGCCATCCCTGCTGACGGACACTGCATGTACCGTGCCATCCAGGACCAGCTGGTGTTCTACGCCACTGTGGAGAGCCTCCGCTACCGCACAGCCTGCTACATGAAGAAACACATCGACGACTTTTTACCTTTCTTTACCGAACCGGAGGTCGGCAACTTCTACACCAAGGAGGACTTCCTGAGGTACTGCGATGACATAGTGAACAGGGCTTCGTGGGGCGGCCAGCTGGAACTGAGAGCCATGTCGCATGTCCTGCAGACCCCCATCGAGGTGGTACAAGCCAACTCACCCATCATTGTCATCGGGGAGGAGTACAAACGGAAGCCGCTCATACTGGTCTATCTGCACTACGCCTGCCACTTCGGAGAGCACTACAATTCGGTAAAGCCCATCGAGGCAGCTGGCGCTATTGGCTGCACCGCACCGCGCCTGTTCTAGATGTTTCCAGCAGTGACGGAGCCTGGAGGCTCGAAGCGCCTAGGCGCCATGTTTCTTCTGTGTTTGACACCACCGCAGTTCCTGAGAGAACTTTTGAAACTGTGGTGGCGCTTAGTAGGAGCAGTTGTTTTCCTTGGCTGTTTTTTGTTTGTTTGTTTGTTTTTGTTTTTTTTCTAGATATGCTTAAAATTTACCCCTTTCCACAGTTTCGAGTTTTTTGTTTGTTTGTCTGTCTGTCTGTTTGTTTGTTTTCCGTTCTCAGGTTTTTTTAAATCATATTTTGTGGGGGGGGAGAGGGAGACATGAGAATGAGAAAATACCTCCCTGGGACACCAGAGAGGCTTAACTTTGACCGAGTCTTAACTTCATTTAACCCTTTCTACCTTTGTCTTGGTCGGGTTTCGATTAATGTTAAGCTGAAAATGGAAATTTGGGATTTTGCTTATTGTTTACCTTGGTTGAAATGAATTTAGTACAAGGGTTCAGTTTGTGGGATTTTTTTTCCTACAGCTCTATCAACTACCTTAATAAAGGTGGAGTTTGTGTGACTGAAGTGACTTGCTCTTAACAATGTTGGAATGCCTGGGTTATGAACAAGTCTTCTGGGAGTAATTTGCTTGTTTCACTTTTTTTTTTTTTTTTTCATTCAAACTTGTGAAGCTGTAAATAGGTTTTAGTTGATCAGATATTTTCTAAGGTCTAAAAAAATGTATTTTCTAATGTAAAAGCTAAATATAACTGTTACATACAGAATTCAATTTAAATGAACCAGTAGTCTAAGTATCCCAAAGATGTGAATTATCTGAACTTAGTGACTTTTTTGCTTTTTAGGGAGAAAAAATATATATGTATTGAAAGTGATTTCAGGAAGTTCCAAAGTAGTTGATCTAGTTTTTATATATAGTTAAAGCAGTGAACTATACAGTTCTGTTTCTGTTAGAGATTTGTTAATTTCTAAATGTGGCAAAAGAAGAGCAAGAATGGAATGATTTGCAGCAATTTTTAAGATTAATCATTCCTGTATTTCAGTGAAGTGACTTAAATTAATTTTTCAAAACATTTGTCCCTTCCAAATTTTCTCAAATAATATATATATATATATGTGTGTGTGTGTGTAACTTTAAAAACTTATAGTTGGTATGTTTTTAAAAACATACAGTTGTATGTTAAAAATAAAAGCAGCTTTTGAAATGCCTGGTTTGTACTTCTTTTGTAGCTGATTTCATATGAAGTTGGTATCCCAGATGGCCCTCAGGAAAGGGCTCATGAAAACTAGGAGCAGGTTTGCTGGGGGACAGATGAGGCTTTGGGTAATACACATGCAGTTTTGGTGGTGGCCTGGAGTGAAATGTTTCCCAGGCTGGGATTTAGGGAAGAATTTATACTAAGGATGCCCTGGGTTGATGTTTTGCTCAGTGAAACACATGAAAGGGCTACCTTTAATATTCTCTGCTGAGCTTGAAAAGGAGCCCTGAATTCCAAGACGTCAGCCAGGCCAGGGCTACATGGCAGGAAGGAAGAAATGAACTATAGTCGACTCCGGGATGGTTTCTGAAATAAATATGAAAGTCCCAACAGAGTTCTCACTATGGAAATAGATGATGCTAGCCAATTTCTGAAAAAAAAAATTATTGGGGTACACTGTGAGAAAAGAACCTTTTGTAGGGACAGGCACTGTGTACAGTGAAGGGATTGTAAGCTAAGGAAGAAGAGAGGCAAGCTCTGGGAGGAGGCACAGGCTGGGGAGGAGAAAATAGGCTTGGAAAGAAGATGTAATATACAGAAGGAGGCCTTGCTGGGAAGGAGGGGGAAGGCTGAGGACAGACATAGCCCAGGGAAAACCTGTATAGGCTGGTTTTGGAGGTTTCAACGAGCTGAACAAGGTGGTAGAATGAGAAACAGGCCATAAAGTATTGCTTTTGCTGGTTTGGTTTGGTTTGGTTTTTTTTTTTTTTTTTTTAATAAGTCTGGCTAGGGAAGAGGACATGGATTGGGGTTTAGGGAAGGGTCCTGGCTAAGAAGTGAGTGAAAGCTACTGAAGGGCCTAGAAATGGCAAAGGTGCTTTATGGGGTGGTGGTCTGCTCAGCTAAGGCAGGGGATGTTGATGGACAGGGCCTCTGACTGACAAGAGGCAGCACACTATGGTGGGGAAAGAGGCCTGGTTAAAGGTCAAAGACACAGACACTGGCTGGTGAAGAATTCCCAGTAGGGGAGGAGGATGAGTTATATAGGGAAAGGAAGGAAACAGGCCGGGAGGGGGTCCAGGTTTCAAAAGGGAAACTGGCTGAAAACTAAACTGAATTCTGGGGAAAGAGTCCTGGCCAGGGTGAGATTCTTTGGATAATAAGGCAGGGAACTGGGCTTCCCGGGGAAGGCATCCCCAGCCATGCACAGAGAACTGTTCTGGTAATTAAGTCACTCAAGTAAGAGGCCAAGGTAGGATAGGTACAGCAGATGATAAAAGAGTCTGTGCTCTTGATGGGGAAATGATCAGGGCAGACAACCTAGTGAGGCAAGGTGTACTTACTAGGCAAACTTATTGAGGGGTTCTGGAAGGAGGTGAGGCTTTCCTGGGGAAAGCAGTCAGTTTCAAAGTGGACGATTGAATAGAGGACGAATAAAATCACCATCAGGTTTGGAAGGTGGGTTCAGGCTGATATAGGGACACAACTGGGGGGGAAAAGGCACTGGGGAGAGAAAGGTAGACTAGGAAGGGAATAAAGGTATCTGCAGTCTTTGTTGGAGAATTAGCCCTAGGTCGAGAAGGAGGCCTAGTTTGGCAAGGGACACAGACTGAAGACATCACTCTCCTGTGAACGGTCATTAGTCTGGGGTATATATAAGGATGGAGCCTCAGATGGACAGAGGAGCCAGGGCACAAGAGTGGCAGACCAAGGAGGAAGATTTTAGGGAAGAAGCAGTAGGCTGGGGAAGAGGACCCAGCTGGGAAGGGAAGCAGAGGGATGTAGCTCTGGACAGGGTAGGGAGGAGAGTTCTCAGCTGGGAAAGGTAAGGTGTAGGCAGAGGGTTGCCTTAGTGAAAGACTGGACAACGAAAGGACACATAATTGAATTAGGAGAGCAAGGACAAGGAAAGTGACCCTGATTGTTAAAGAAAAAAAAAAGCCTTTAGAATGGGTCTTTTTTCATTAAGTTTTATTTTTTATATTAATTACAGTTTATTTACTTTGTATCCTAGCTGTAGCCCCCTCCCTCATTCCCTCCCAATCCCACCCTCCTTCCCTCATCTCCTCCCATGCCCCTCTCCAAGTCCACTGCTAGGGGAGGACCAGATAGATGGCCTATTGGTACAGAGAATCAGGATATACACAGAGAGCCTGGCTGAGGAGGACCACATAGTTGAGGAAGAAGGAGAATTAGCAAGGAGGGAAACACAGACTAGGAATGGGAGTCTTGGAGAAAGAGGTCAGGCTAGGCAAGAAGACACAGGATAGGAAAGGGAACTCAAGTAGGAAGCTTAATTAGAGACAGGGATATATGGAGTCTCAGTTATCGTTAGGATTAATGTGATGAAACCCTCTGACTGAAACAACTTGGGAGGAAAGAGTGTGAGAGAAGAGAAGCCAGGCAGAAACCTGAAGGCTGGAGCTGATACAGAGGCCACGGAAGAGTGCTTGCTTTCTTCCTATGCTTTTCTCAGCCTGCTTTCTTCCTTTGTTTGGGGTTTGGTTTTGTTTTATTTTAACTTGTTGTTGATTCTTTGCGAGTTTCACATCAAGCACCCCAGTCCCACTCATCTCTCCCATCCCCTCATATCTGCCCTTTGCCCTTGCAATCTCCCACCACCCCCAACACAAAAATTCACAAACAAGCAAAAAATGGAGCATAGAAAATATCTCATTTTAGAAGTAGTAGTGTGTCACAGTGTGTCCCACAGTATCCGTCTCTGTTCATGCATCTTCACTTGCACATGCTCATTGCAATGAGCCATTGCTCTGGTATCTCCGGATTCCGTGACCCCATCAATATTGAATCCTCACTGGGACTCCTCCTGGTTATCCTGTTGTTGCTCTGTGTCATGGAAATTCTGCAGCTTTGGAACAGCAGGACTGGACCTTTCATAAGTCCCAATTGTTCACAGATGATACAGATTTGGGGGTGGGTCAACTCAGAGCCCTGGATCTGAGCCTGGGTGGTAGCTGAGTTGGTCAGCACTCCAGCTCTCCCTTACCCACACCCCCAGTGAGCTCTCCAGGGCTGCTCCAGCAAGGCTACCCCAAATGCCACCATCGGCAGCAGGCAGGGTCAGCTCCCCTGCTCTCATGCCCTTGGGGTAGCTCACCTACACCCATGCCTCCAAAGCCAACTCCTCTTGTCCAGTCAAGGCAAGAGGCCCACTCTCCCAAGTGCTGGAGCTAGGCCAGTTCTCTCATTCTCAAACCTTTGGGACTGGCTCACCTGTGCCTTCTCCACCACAACCAGCTCCACTGTGCTGCCCAGGGAAAAGGCAGTGCACACTCTTCTGAGTGGCTCAGCATATGCTTTCTTATAAAACACAGAACCCCTAGCCCAGGGTTAGCAGCACCCAAAATGAGCCCCCCCCCCCATCAATCCTTATGAAAATGCTCTATAGGCATGCATACAGCCTGATCTTACAGAGGCATTTTCTTAATCTAGGTTCCCTCCTCTCAGTTTGATGGCTATAGCTTGTGTCAAGCCGACGTAAAATTAGCCAGCACATACAGCTTAAGAATCCCTAGCAGATGTAAGGATCCTGGCTGGGGTGAAGTTCCTATGTGGCTGAAGTTTTTGAAGTTGTTCAAGCTAGAAATGCTAGTTCAAACTGAGGAAGGTTGCTTGATTGCCAAAGAGGGCCTGCCTGTCAATGGAACACAGACCAGGTAAAAGTAATAAATGTGTTGGAGGGCCTTGGTTTGGTTGCTATAACAGCTAAGGAAGGGGTATATGTGGGTGTATGCCTAGTAGAAAGGGGGACCAGGTTGACAATGGGTTTGAGAAAGGAGTTTGGCCGTGGACTA